GTATAGGTTCGGAAAAGGGCCCTCGAATAAAAACCGCCCCGCCGTTAGGATCGGTTTTTTTGGGGCGCTTTAACTGTCACGAAGGAATGGCGAATCCATATATGTAAACTATATGCGCTTCTTTGAATTTCACTGATAAATTTTGGATCCGACTTTTTAGCGATCTTTCAGGTGGAAGGAATAAACAGCGTCGATGGGATGGAATAAAAATGGTATTTTATTTCCGTCGGGGTGTAAAATGCCCCTTCTGAAAATCCAATGGTTTGCCAAAAGGGAACGCACCTATACGGTCAAATATTCGACTGAAAAATATTCAGAAGGGTACTTTTCAGTTTTGAGAAATACACCTGCTTGGTGCTTATTAAAGAGGCCTAAACCTTCAGGCATCAGACCAAAATTCCCCGGGGCTTCCTAAACATCCAAGAGACCACCAAAATTTCTGGACACTTTTGAAAATAAAATACTGGAGCAACCTTTCCGTCTTTGACAAGTTGGAATATTGACACGCTATTGCTTTGTAGGGGGTTCGGCCCTATCATTGGTTCAAGGCGCTGCTGGATTTGAACATTCCAGCACCCCCCAAAGATTGAAAATACCTTTTTTTTCTTCCCAAAGCAAAAAAATTGATGACACAACGGAACACGCCACACGATCCAGACACTTTATAGGAAAAGTTCTACTTAAATACGTTTGAGGGACCTAACAAAATCCTTTTAACAGCTGGCCAGCCACTTTGCTTTTGGGGCAAGGCTGAAAGCAGGTCAGGAAGAGCTCTGGTGGTCCACAAAAAAATTAGCTGGGCATATTTGGAGGCCAACCAAAACGTTATCAATCTGCAAAATGTGGCAGCTGAACTCTGTAGCAGTGGACTCAGTTTTGGGGAAGGGGGCATTTGGAGTCCAGGGTCGCCATGAAGTTTACAGTTGATACACCCCTGCGCGAGTCATTTGGAAAGCACTGAAGGAAAATGTATGGAACAACCTGAAGGTTATTGTATATACCCTAACTTGGGCCGGTATGGGTTGGTACGTCGCTCCTAGGGTGGCTACCCAGGGTAACAGCCCGAAAGGGTTTTATGTGATGTCTGATTCTGCTTTTCCCGATAAATTATATATCGCAAAACCTATAATATGTTATTTGAATCGTTAAAACAAATTTCTACATAATGGTTTCACAAGAGTTTCAGATATAAATACCATTGATCTCATCAATATAAAAATATAGCTCATTACTGATTTCAACTTTATTTTCGCTTTTTCTTCAGGTATTGAAAGAATTCAGAAAAACACACTATAAGCTGATCCAAAACCTTGAATCATTTTATTCTTGAAAAATGTTCTAAAAACACTTCACCAGACCGTTGTTTTGATTTTTTTAAATAAGGAGTTTCTTTGTTTCAGTAAGTTCACTCAGAAGCACTTTGCCAACTAATCCCTATACTAACTCCCGGTGCTGTGCTAACGCAACGGAAGAGCACCAGGGTAGTGCAATCGCAACCCTGAGTACGGTGGCGCATCTTCGGCGCCCAATGTAAGCAAACCAAAAAAGAGGACAAAACACAAACCAAGAAGTCAACAGCGGAGTTGGCATGACATTCTCTATAATGTGCTTTTGGATAGACCACACGTTATGCCGACCCTGCGCTCCTGCGGTGTGTGCTGTCATAAGACTAGGGTTGGAAAAAAACCCTCGCGCTGCTGTCATGGAATTGAAGTAAGACAAAAGTAGCAAAGGGGTCCATACCATTTGTTGTATGCCTAAAAGGAAAAAACATAGTATTGAACGTTGATACAGAGTTCCGCAGGTTCTAATGAGAAGTCGCTGGTAATGATGCGCAGCGAACCCGACAAGGAGTCCAAACAGGCTTGACTCGACCACGTATTGTTTGTTAGGCTCATTGTCAGTTTCCAACAGGATTTGACTCCTCTCTGTTAACATTTTGTTTTGCATTCGTCTCTTCGATCGGTGTTTGTGTATGTTATAGGACTGGCCAAGGAAATCACCGATGCCCCACAAACTTGCACCAACTAGTGCACTTTTGACATATCGCCATCTGGCAGCCATTACTTGTATATATTTTTTGTCACAATAAGTCGACAAAGTAGATTAATATAAGAATAAAAAGGATAAGGTGATTAAAGTTTAAATAATGGGTAGATACTCAATTATATAGTTTAAGATGAATAAAATATATCATAATGTCGTTGTGACTTCTTGCGATTTACTTTTTCATTTCTGAACATATGGATGCAAATGTCCAACGAATAACAACATTACACTTGTTTCATGTTTTCTTACTCTTCAAATAAATTTTAATACTTCCGTACTTTTTTCAGTATTTTAATATTCTTCAGTGTGTACTACCTTATCCATGATGCAGTTTCTGTACTTTGAAGAGTTAACATGTCCTGAAATATATGTTTAGTTCACACAGCTGACGAAGTCAAAATTTTCGCTAAATTGTTACTTATTTCCATCATAGAGAATAGAAGAATCTATTTCACATTAACTCTCAAGTTTTGCAAGTGCTTTTAATAGAGTTTGAAAGAATGCTAATCTTTCCATCTTCGCTTGAACAAACCAAATAGGGCCCTTCGGTTTCAATATCCGTTATGCATGCATGATGGAGAAAATGCTTCTGTGAAGGTCTTTTTACGAGGCCTTTTGACAACCTTGGAGTACAGCACAAGGAGTTTGAAAATAGAGTACCAGGGTCCATCGCATGCTTATTCTCTGTGGTGGGGAACGCATCAGAGGCTAGGGGGTATGCTCTCTTAGGCAGAGGGACAATGCTTCCAGAGGTTCTATTCGGACGCACCAAGGTCAGATCGTCATTATTTTGAAAGTTCCACATATATAGACAGCCATTATCACTTGCACTAAATAGGTACTCATCGCTGTTCCAAAAAGCCACCGGCTGACAGGTTCGGCTGTTGTTCTCAATCCCATTGAACGAAAATGGCAAAAGTTGAGAGGAAATAATATCCCACAAACGCAACTCACCACCTCGATAAGACGCAAGCAATAGCGTCGACGACGGAGATAACGCTATGTCGGTCAGTTCCTTTAGAATAGGAGACAACAATGTATTGATGAGGACACCCGTGGCGACGTCCACCACCAGGATTGGTCCGTCTTTGCAGGCGGCGTAATAAGTCGTGCCGGTCCGGCTGGAAAGGATGGCTACAATGGTGCCATAGCCGTAGCTGCTCTCGCGCATTTTGCCCCCGCTCAAGGTGTCCCACAAGGTCACCGTGCCGTCCGACTGCCCCGTCGCGACGATGGTTCCACAGGTGAAAAAACAGCTCGCGTAGACTTCTGCATCGTGGAGGAGCATATTCTCCACAGACGCCTGCGGGGATAGGGATTGGTGTAGGAGATTGGCCTCACCGCCATGGGCCGTCGTGGTGGCTGACAAAGCCTCTTTGACCGTCTGGCCCACGTAGTGCTCCAGGTTGATCACTGCCACCCGACACCCTCCCCACACCAGCAGTCGATTTCCATCCCGACCACACATCCCGCGAATGAGATGCGGGTGTTGATAGATAAAGGCGATCCCGCCCTCCCCGGTTGGGGAGCCGCCGTGCGCGGGAGGGGTTGAGGTCAATTCGGGCTTTGGAAAGACCGGGAACGGCTGATCCATCAACGGGGCTCTCTTGGTTCGACCGCCCTCGAGGTGATCCAGGGATACCCAGAAAACTGCCCCGCCTCGTTTCGTCTCTACACTGACGGCCAGCGCAGAACAGGTCAAAAACGTTCGACAGGCCCCAAGACAGTGCATCGCAGACCTGGGCAATATATCGGGGAAGTACTGCTTGAGAAGGGCATTCACGTCGATTTGCATTAAGAGTTCGTTCGGTGGAAGATGGTTATCAAAGGAAACGCGAAGGGTGCTTGTGATAATGTTAGGATGCCCTTTTTGAAGATGGGGGTACTGCTTGCGAAACAGGTCAAATGAGAGCGATTGCGCAAGCATGACTTGCAGTGGTTTAATTGAGTTGTCGTCTCGGTTGGTGACGAGGTTGCCTTGCCGGAGGTAGGGCATCATCGTCGCGCTATCCATTGTTCGCATGATAAACTGCTGCAGCTGTGAGCGGCCAATTTCGGGTCTCCATCCACGATACTCTGGATAGATGTTCGCACTCTCCGAGACCGTCTTGCACGATAAGAGATAACTCAGTTTCTTGAAATGCTCGCGGCTTATCAAGGGTTCAAATGGTTTGATGTTGCGTATAAAAAAACTAAGCGACCGTTGCGCATCATCTTCATCAACTAGTTCCAAGTACTGTTGTTGAGAAAGCAAAAATGGTAAAGTCTTAATCAGGTGGTTCAGCTGAGACGGATGCTCAGCTTGAAAAATTCCACCGGATTGAACACCATTTTGGAGTTTTTTCATATTTTTTTGTGCCGAATCCCAGTTACGCTCGTCAACAGAACGACACAAGGCTCGTACGGTTTTCCGCTCATAGTGATTGTTCCTAAGTTGAGCTGTGGCCTCCTCACGAAGGAGCTGAGCCGAGGCGGTAAGACCCTGTTGAATCAGCCATACAATGATAACTTGAACAATCTCCGTGCGCGTTGTATCGTTGACCGCTATCTTAACGAGATGCCCATCCACATAAGGTACTTTTTCGTTTGAATCCAAATGCGTCGCAGAAGGTAGGATGTTTTCGCAGGCGGAGGGGGGGGAGTCAGGAAAATTCATATATAGGTAAAGATATCGGTATATAGAGGGAGTGTGCGCTAAAGAGCAAAATCTGAAATGTATATTCTAGCAGCAAAAATATTTGATTATAGGCACCTCGTAACCTTCACTATGTATGCCAAAGAAGCTAATGAAGGTTTAAGGTAAGGATGAAGAAGCGATTTCGCTAATAAGTACAAAGCCTTCCTGAAATATTTGGCTTGACTATTCCTGTAAAAATATAACCGAAACCAAAAGAGTAGAGTCCAAGGCGGAATAATAATAGAAATTTGAACACATTAATGGGGTTGGATTCTGTATTGCACTTTCAGATAAAAAAAATGTATAGTGTTATTCACTCAATGCATATTATCGGTGATTTTTTTAAGATTGTTACATTTTTATTGTGACAAATTATTTATTTTGGAAAGAGTACTTTATGAACAAGGAATTTGTTTTTTCCATTATTACTATTTACCGTCGATAAATCACCCTCCCCCCCCAAAAAAGAATTATAATATCTATCTTCTAGATAAATTAAAATCTAAGGAATACGGTGATATAAATAGACAATTTGTTCTTTATTTATAAAAATTAATTTGTGTTGATACAAAAAGGCTATATTCCATGTGACAGCTTCATTGTGATCAAAGCTCTGTGATTTATTTTCCATGGCGTCTATTGCGTTTGAGGTAATTCAAAAGTGCATTCTTCAAGTCACTTTTCGTTATCTCAGGCCATTTTTTCGAAATAAATTCAAATTCACTATAAGCACACTCATACAAAAGAAAGTCACTAATCCTCTTCTCTCCGCTTGTCCGCAGGATGAGCTGTGGCTCTCTAGGTATTGAACTTGTGAAGATCTTCTTATCCTCTTCTTCATAACTTGATTGAGTTATGCTGTGAAGCATCTCGGACGAAATTTCATCCTTTGTTATCTCACGTGTATCGCTGGAGGCCATTCGTCTCTTAAAAATTCGGTTGCAAGCCATCACCATTTCAGATTGTCCACTATAACTGACGCAGATGTTAAGAGTTATGCAGCGTGGAGATATATGCCTAGAATCACACTCTAGGTATTCCATCATCTTAAGTAAATGTATAGGTAGTTTTTTGGGTTCAGTTGAAACAAATCGAATAAAAATGCCATACTCATATATAATAGATCGTATTTTTCCAAAAAATAATAAGAAAAGTGTCGTTAAAACCTGTAATTCGACTACAGGGCGGTCCCAATTATTCGTCGAAAACGCATAAACTGTAAGCATTGCTATACGCGCTTCGATGCAGTCTTTTATAAATTCCAAGAGCTTCTCGCTACCAAGTCGATGTCCATCTAAAAAAGTGAACTGAACCATGTGTGAAAACTTTTCATATCTGTCATTAAACCAACTGGTACATTTATAGAAAGTGCTATCTGAGTTCGTTTTGCCGCTATTGTTGGCTATTTCGGTGCTAATCTGCTTGCAAAAGGACTCAATTTCTTCTAATGACATTGCATTTTCAAGCTTACTACAGCATTTTTTTCCGTAGCGTCGATTTCCATCCATGATAACAGCAAGGTGAGTAACTGGATGAAGAAAAGAGTTCATACCATCATCCACATTACAGTCTTTCTTTTCGTCGGAAGTCACAGTGTGCTTCGAGGGGCCAGAACAAGCACTTTCTGGAGATGAGAAAGATGAGGAATACTTGCTATAAAGATAGTTATTTAAAGTAACAGTAAAGTATACCAAAACTATCAATAAAGCGATACCAAAACATGAAAGGCCCAATGTTCCACAGATATCTTCTAACAAAACTATACTACCACCGTAATAATTCAATTTGTGAGTCCATATGAGACCATCCTGTAAATTTATAGGAGTATCAGACGTGCTCATTCTGCATAATATAGAATCTAACCTAGAAAGAAACGAAATAATAACTGATGTACATTGTGTAACTCAAAGTATAAATTAATAGGAAAGAATAAAAATGCATAGATTATTATCATCCATTGAATATGAGTTTCACGACTGATAATTCAGATAAATATTTGACAGCTTTTAGTTGTAGACCTCATACAATTCTGATAAAGATTTACGCTACTTGCAACGATAAGCACTAAACATGAAATCCGAGCGACAGCATTATTGCTTTTTCACTTTACAGAGGACTTGAGACTTGTCGTTGACAAGAAACAAAAACCAGATTGAATGAGTCACTCCGGAGCATTTCGAAAAGGCTATAGTTTCCCACATTGTTCCTCCGAGGCTGTGGGTAATTCTGAGAGAAGTGCTGCCGTAAATCAGATCAGAAGAGGATGAGGGACTGAGTTGTGATGATAACAAGCGAGAGTAAAACCCTTCCGTTTTCACGCTGTCCTGATTTCAGGACAGCGGAGACATGATTTACTCCCAAAGAGGTGTAATTGCTCCGTGTGTTTAGTCATAATGCAACCAAGCCTCGCAAGGTTAACCACGACGAGCTCGAGCTAATTCTGTGCGTGGGCCAGGTCGACCTGGATTCTTTTGAATCACTCTTCCATCTAAGACGTATGGGAGTGGAGAGGACCCATGTTTGTTATTTGACGCTTGGTGACTTTTTCGAGGTGTCGGAAATGTCGTCCTCGGCATCCGACAAAAGCAGTCTATATCCGAAGTCATTCACTCATGCTGACGCCGCAGCCACTTGTAAAGGCCGAGTATTTGTTGTCAGAGCCCCTCAATGTTTTACCAGTTGGTTTATTCGCCGTTTTCGTCACCAGGTATTCTATTAACCGGCTGCGTTGCCTGGATTCTTCCCACAGAAGATACGTGATGTAGGATCGGGTCATACAGGCGGGAGAGGGATACTGGTTTGCGTATGGCTGCCACTAGAAAGTGCCTGCCCTTTTCGAAGAGTCGTTCATAGTAAAGGACCTGGGATTCTCATCACGCCGCTGTTGTCGGACTTTTCCTTTTCAAACACGGCCGTGTTGCTGATACTTGATACCGGTCCATCCCAGGAAGTCGAGGTCGAGCGGATGCGCCGGTTGCTCAACTCCGAGTTTTGGATTGTGTAGGTCGTCTTGAGCGAAGCCGTCATCCGCCTGCACTTCATCAGGGTTTAGTTCTTTTTGATGACTCCACCCGCCGGGAAGGTCGTTCGCGGAGTTCAGGCAGGCCTATCCTTAGTCTTGCCTAAACGCGCTGTGTCAATTTTGGGACTTCTCTTCCAGTAGTTGATTAAAGGGGACCACAACACTGCGCTGATCTTCGCAGTGTGTTGTACAGCTGCACTGTAGAGAGAGCAAATGAGTCGGCAGAACGGCCTTAAAGGGGTCTCCACGAGGGATGTCTGGCGTAGTTTCGACATTCACTTTGTCGTCTAGCGTATCATAGGCCTGGATGTGCGTGTGAGCCCATCCAGAGGATCGATCACGATTGTATGGTTTAGATGGTAAAAGATGTATTCCTACGCAGTGAATTCTGAAAATACACTTGGAAAAGGTAGTGACAGTAAGAGATTAAAGGCACAACTGGATCACAATGAATTAAACATGTTTTGTTGATTATTCCCCACTCATTCACAAAGGCACCCACTCATCTTGAGTAGTTTGTTATTTTTTTTTATGCACTTAATCGATTAGAATCACACATCGACAAAGTCAGAAAAACAAAAAGTTACAGCTTGTTGAATAGTGCAGAAGCACGGGTGGCGAATATGGAAGTTTTTACATGACAATGCATGAAGAGCAGTGGGATTCGAAACAGACGGTTTATACCGCAAACTCCTCCCGGTAGCTATGTTGCAGCGCGCTTCCTCATGCCACCTACAACTCTACTCAGGGTGTCACCCATTCTTAGATTATCCTTTCTATTTGTTGAGGCCGCGCATTAATTCCAAAAAATCAAAGTCCAACCGGTGACAACGCCATTTCCGGCAAATAATTTATTTACCAACAGCGAATTCACGACAGTATACTCATTAATGAGTTGGACAACTTTTTCCAGGGAAATAGACCCCTTAGAGCTCATTGCTCATGTGTCCTTTTTCTATACACAAACATAAATTGCACTCACCTTTCCATTTGTCGTTTCATATGAAAATAGGCTGAACCTTTACATAAGCGTGAAGAAGAAAACATAGCAAGCCGCACCACAGCAAATGCAAATGCAATTGTCTGATTGAATACATATCTCATTTTCTTTCTATCCGAAAATATGAAAAATACGTATTATAGTTCGAAGTATTTCTTCAGGGGAAATTATACCTGTACACATAAGTATTACAATGTTTAGCACCACCAAAGTGCCTAAGCCCTTATCCAATCGGTCGCATTTCTTTCGCTCAATAGCAAAATTGAGCAAATCCGTTACCTTCTGATCCTCACCTGCCGCGCTTCGGCTGGCATCCTCTAAAAATGGAACCAGTGTCACGTCATAGTCCATTTTGAACCATAAGCGACGCTCTACGTAGCCATAATACATAAATATAGCAGACAATGTATTAAATAACAGAAAGAAGGCCCGTGGCGGAGAAGGCAAGGTTGGCGGAAATGTGAGAGATTGGTATACTAGCGGAGCCAAGTGTACTATACACAGGTTGAAAAAGAGCAACGAACAGATGGAAATCAAATCCAAAGGCTTCCAGAAAAGGAAACCCCATAGCGCGTTGAAGAGACACATCAGGCCCACAATGACCCAGTTCACCTCGGTTTCCGAAAGTGGAAAGCTCACAGCGATAAGAAGAATGATGATGTTTGGCAGGTACGAAACAAGACCACTGCCGGTGTGGACCATTTCTTTTTTTGACCGCACTTCCGCCTCATACTCATTTTTCAGCTGCTGTAGTTGTCGAAGCCTGGATAGCCGCTTTTGATTACCCTCCTTAATTCTCTTAGCGGTGTCTTTGCTAAACATTATAATCGTGTGCGTCTTTTGTTCACTACACGGTTGTCGTTTAGTTTTTTATATCTATGCTATCGCGAACGTGCGATAATTCTGACCTTCCCAGTGCAGTGCACTTCTTCGTTATACCTTCGTTATGTTACTATGGGGGGAAAAGTAAAGTTGAAATATAACCGGTAGAAAGCCAGCATGGGTGAGAGGATGACAAAACAATTCCATTTGAATGCAAGTACAGTTGTTTTGTTCGGATGAAATTTTGTTTCCAGTTATGTGTTCATTTTCATTGAATACATGCACAAAGTTTATTCTCAACCGAGATCACCATATAAAGCCTCAGCGGTCCGCCGGAATAGACCTTCCCTCGTTTTTTCCGACATTCGCGCTCGTACAATCGGCATCATCTCTTCTACTATCGCGCTGACATCTAGGGATTCATTACAGCGTACCCGACGCGCGATGGTGGATTGGGTCAATTTTCCCAGAGATACGGCCTGATCCCCACCATCTCCGATTTGAGTCCGAAAGTATTCAAACAATGCGGCTTTCCGGACACTGGGTAGCCCTTCATACAAACGCACACCCTCGTTTTTTCCTGTCCCAGATCTATCCATCTAAGGGCTCAACTAAGCTATATGCACTAAAGGATGCAATTTTTTCAGATTATTTAGACTAGCTATGGCGAATAATAAAAAAGATTCCATTTAAGTGTAGGTGCAATGAGTGAAAGGCTTAAACAACAAAAAGGCTAAGTTACTTCAATAACAGAAAAACAAGCATTCGACCTGGAAGCGGTTCAACACTTCTTTTCCCTTCCATCTCTTTATAACAAAAGAAGACAATTTGATACATCATCGTGCTGACATTTTATTAACCCACATATCGTTTCAGCGTTTGTCCAACACGTTTGTGTATCCTGTTGGTGTACGGATAATTTTAAGGGTCATTTGACATTGCTCAATTCTATCAAGCCTCACTCAAGTTCTTTTATTATTCGAATCTACAAAGCGCCGTAGCCATCCTCAGCCTCTATTAAGCCACACGATACCTTCCTGTTATTTAAAAGAAAACAGCCCCGATGACGCGTAGTGAAGGAAGCGTCTGACGCGAATTGTAGAATCGCATCCTTGCCAAACGTCGATAGCAGCGGCAAACTTTCCAAGGCCTTCATGCCCATACACGAAAGCCCAGGGACAACGGCGGTGATAGCTTTAAATGATCTCCACGGTGGCTAACAAGTGCCCAGTGTGGGCGATCATCTCCCACGAAAAAACCTGCCCGAGCATAACGACGCTGTTGATATCCTGACCGATTCGAAGAACCCTTTCCGACGCGCAGACGTTGTAGAGGCCCCAATTAACCTCCTGCCCCGCAAACAGATGAATGTTGTAGGCGGATTTCTCCCACCACAACGCCCCACGTGCCGAGGGCGTTGTGGTGAGCCCCATGACGTGTTAGGAAGTGTCAAAAAAAAAAGTGAAGAGGCACAAACACACGGTGTTTCCCTAATATAATCGGTTCATTTTTCAACCGAAAGAATGTGAGGCAACACGTAAACATATCGGAAAGGAATTGATCGGTGGAAGGGGCGCACTCGTCGCATATAAAAACGCGGCCCTCTACACTTTATATTTCTACACAGCATGTGCAGAGGAGTCAAACTCAGACTCTTTGAAGTCATACGTGAGGAAAAGACTCTTTATTACGCATGTGGATCGTTTTTTTTGAGTTGTAGAACCCTATTTCCCTATGTTAGTCACTGGAAACAAAAGGATTTTTGTACCACTTTGCACTAATCCATTGATGAAGTAAAAGAATCGCAGTGATCCTGAAAAATACGAGGGATATTACCCATATCGGATTGTGATAGTGGAGGAATTCTTCAAAGACAGAAGCGTAATCGCATGATATGAAATGCCTGAATTAGTAATACCTTCATTATGAAGTTGTAAGTCTTGTTGTGATAAGAAAGTTTTAACAAACTTTAAGTTTATATTGGATTCATTACATTCAGAGGATACAAAATTGAAGAATAGTTTGATGTTATTTAAACCAATATAAAATAAAGAGGCATCTGAAAGTGATAGGGAAATTTAGCCTATTAAAAGGGAAATAAGATGAAATGATAGAGTGAATTTTTTTAATGGAGTTTTGAGTCATTTAAAAAAATCACATATATCCACAGTAAATAGCACCAAATAAAATTCAGTTAATCGTAATGTTATCTGTGAATTTGACGTGCCACAGTTTATACGGTAAGTATGGTATTTATAGTTAAAAAAAATTATCGACGAGATAAGTCTATGGTTGACAAGTTCAGTTTATGGGGTGTTTCTATGCTATATGATAAGGTGTAAGATCCAAAGGAAATGAACATATGCAAACAGCAGCGCTCTATTTTCTTATTGTTAGGTAACTAAAACGTAAAATGTTTATAACAAAATATTTTGAATTGTAAAACTAAAGGCTCAGTTTATAACCTTTCATTATTGAATATATGATGTATCTTTTTTTATTTTTATATCATAACATTTGTATAAATCCTTTCTAGATCAATGGCCATCAAGAAGTCAATATAGAAAGAGATAACAGAGAACAGTCTATATTTTAAAGCCTTTAGTTGTGGGCTCCTATGATTCTAAAATTAGTAGTTTATGGAGAGGATATCCCACTTACTCTGTAAATTTCTATAATTTTGTCTCTCTATGACAGTGGCAGTAAGGGATGAGGACAGGTAATTATACTTCAAAGGTTCGGTAGATTCTTCCTTATCAGAATGAATAGAGTAATCTAGTCTTCTAGCTACACGAGGTTTATGGCTAAGTTCGTTTGATAAGTGAGACATTTTAGTGCCCGAGAACCCCTTGCGAGAGCGTTTCTGCGAGCAATTCTTAACTGACTTTTCATGACTAGTGGAAAAGTCGTGGTAGGTACTATACGGAGATTGAAACTCATTGTCTGCGTCTCTCAATGGCTTCCTTCCAGTGTGTTTATCGCCAATCGCATAGCATGCTTCGGCTGAAACTGACAAATTCGAGTACGACCCTTGTTGAGAGCAGGAAGGTGAAGGGACAGTTAGATCCACTGTATGGACCTCCTCATCCTCCTCGCTGTATTCCATAGCCAATAGCGATACCGCACAACATTCAGCACGGGTGAGAGAATAAACACACCTTGGATCTGGAGACTTTTCAAAATACGAACTTTCCATCGAAAATATATTTGCGCCGCTTGGAGAGTTGCAAGCACTGGACAAAGTATGTTGGCTCGCATCGAATGCCCCCTCCTCCACCTCTTGCGGCATCCCGATTCCCTTCCTCAATATCGTACAATTTTCGTCGAGTTCCTTCAATTTATCGCCGAGCTTCGGATCCTTCATGTGCTGTGCGATGACATTAGGATTGAGCGGTGAGGGGCGTGTCCAGACGGAGAATGGACTCCCGTGGCCGAGGACTGCGTAGGGGCCACCGAGGGCTACCAACTGCCTCCGCGCGGCGATGCGTTGGAGTGGTGTCGCACCTCCTCGCGCGATTCTCAAAAGATGCTCTCCCACTACAGCACCCTTTGTAGAGAAGATTATACCCCCATTGGCCTCGGCACACGGGGTGATGATGGAAGGGCTTCGTTTTATTCGCGCCGCGGAGCCTAGGGGGGTGGAGGATGTGCTAATGTTGGCAGCAGAGGAAAGACTGCGCTCTACATTGTACGAAGAATGGCGATAGGTTAATGGATAATGTGGTTCCTCAAGATCGATTTTGTCATAACTGATATTTTTGACTCCATTTTTGACGTTTTCATGTAGATCAGTATCGCTGTCACTTGCAAAAATGTACTCCTCAGTATGTTTGATAGTTGATGTAGCTTTATTCGGTGTCAGACCTGCCATCATTGGTGTGTAAAGCCTCTATTTGTTTTCTGAAGAAGATGGAGAAGAAGATGGATATTATATAAAACATCACCGTTTTTATCGCAGAAGGTGCGAGAGAAATAATTTTTATAGCTAATAGTATTTGTTTTTCCCCCTTTTTTTTGGTGATACTAATGACAAAATAGACTGATGACACAATATGAGGAAGTCTTATTACTATCTAATTAAAAAAAAATTATAATTGTTATACAAAAAGCAAACAAATTACGTTTATGTTATTGTTACTCTTGGTTGACTATAAAAGTTCGTGAAGAAGTATTTTTTTATAACAAATAAGGTAATTATATATTAAAATCGACTATAAGAAAAAATACATAGCTGAACATATTTAGCCGAAAGTACAAGCTTTCACTATTAAACTTTACTAAAGTACATATAAATTGATCTAAACTATGATAAATAAATAAATCCAGATAAATATACTATTTATAAATACTGTAGCTTACATGGATAATGATCAAAATGCTTGTTTTAACCTGTTTTACTCTTTTGAAACTATATACCATAAAACACAAAATATATATTATAAAAATGGCAAAAGAAAAAAAATTATAAACCATAATATAATTAGCAATTAGGATGTGTAAATAAAAACCTTTTAAAAATAAATTTAGAGCACAACAATGACTTTTGCTATACAGAGAAAACTTCCATAAAACGAAGTCTATTTAAATTTAGTAATAACTAACATAAATCATAGTGATTGCGGAGGGGAAGGAAAGGAGACTAAAAATAGTCAAAAGAAGAATACCGAATAAATTTGAATCACTTCTAATTCGTGCTGTATTAGTATCTCTTTTCCACTCCAATCCGCTTTTTTGTGTCAATATGCGCGCAAATGTATGAGGATAGAATTTTATATTCATCATTCACCAAGGTGTCATTTTTCGTGTTTTCAAGTGTGCGGGAAACAAATGCGATCCCTTTTAGAATTTAAGTGCCAACTACGATGTAAAAAAAATATGATTTTTTCTGGGTATTTTCTTCATCATTCTATTAGAATGCATAAATCTCGAATGGGGCTGATCCATAGTAAACAGTTTTACCTCCTATAACACATATTGCAGATAAATTAACGGAAATACGAATCCTACTCGTTACTAAAGTGAAATTCCTGTATTTGAGCTCCTACACCTATTAGATTTGTAAGGTGTTTTTGATGTACATCTTATTTCCTTTATTAAGTCTTAAAGGGCTTTAGATATTCCATTGAGGAACTCCTCATCTTTTTCTCCTCCCTTGAAGATCTTTAGCGAGCATGGGCAGGGCGGGCTAATGATGATGATACAGTGGATGCTTCTCTTTCCCTTTTTTTTCGTTATTATATCAACCGGATTGAATAGGCTGCTCACGTTTGTTTTCTGACGCACAAGGGCGTGCGATCCCCCACACAGGCCACCGTCTTTCCCGTATTCTCCCTGTCAAAGCTCTGCAGCGGCGGCAGGTGATACGTGGCGTACTTCATGTTTATGTAGGGCGTTCGTTCTCTTTTAGAACTGTTGTAACGCCGTATGGGGGTGTGGCCTCGATCCCTGTTTGTGTCACCGTTGGTTAAAACCCACGAGTAGTCCCTGGGGAAGTCCTTGGAGGAGGACTCCGTGTACCTGTCACGGCTGACCGGTTGTTCCGTCAGGTCAACCAGGGAGCCAAGCCGACTATTGGAGAGACCCCTGAGGGGTTGGGATTTGAATCTAAGCTGGGATAGGGGTGTAAGGAAGTCAGAGGAGTGGTCCGGCGCGCGGTAGGAGGATATCCTAGGAGTTTCACAGGATAGGCATCGTATTACGCGCTTGGTATTAACCGGGAAAAAGAACGTCGTCACTTCGTCGTTCTCAAGTTGCAAACTGCATTGGGAGGATCCACGTGAATGTGAAATACTCATCAGATGGATATATTGTAATAAACTAAGCTTTTAACTAACTGTTTTTATTATTATTCTATGAAATAGAAGGGAAATAAAAGTAGTTATACCCATTTTAAAAGAACAAAATAGATTCCATCCTTATTCGAAAAGAACCAGCCGACTAAATTTGGCAATCATTAGCCTGTAGAGCAAAACCTTGCGGAATAATAGAAAAAAAAATTGAGTTAGTTTCGGATTTCTATTTTCCTGGAATATGCTGTTGACACAATGAGCTTGAACAGTGCAGATAATTTATAAATATAAATGCACCCAAATAAGATTTTCCAATATGAACAAAAAGACATTATGTTAGAACGGAAAAACTTATAACATCATAGTTTTTTTTATACTCATCCAAAAAAATACAGAAAATAAAAAAATATAAAAAAACATATAACTTTGACGTCTGCAGATTATTATGAAAACTGAAACACAAAGCTGTCCAGCAATGCTACCTCTCGTTGGCCATAATATTCTAATCCATCAGGAAAGTCAGGTGTGTAATATCGCATTGTTGGAAAGGAATTTACATTCATACGTTTTGCCAACTCCGGATACTTTTTTGCGTCTACACGGGCAGCAGTAAAGATCTCTCGGAGCTTCTTCTTTGATTGACTAATGGAAAAGATATCCCACGTTTCATCTACTTGCTTGCATGGTCTTGCCCAAGAAACACAATATAGCACAAATGTATACCGATCAGCTCCAGGATTTACATATTCATCAAAGTTTTCAGGTGTGAGTTCGATAACACGAGTCATATTCGAAGGTGCTGGGAGAGCAGCCGCGGTTGTACTCAAGTGGTACAACACAAATGTCAGGAGTGTGATAAAATAAAAGAACTTCATGGTCTCAGCAATATACACTTATTATTGCTACTATGATTTTATCACTTAAGCTCTTTGTTTGTTTTTCTTATGGGAACATCTGATGCAAAAAAAAGGATAAAATGCACAAATAAATGTGAATTTGAGCGCTAAACGTCATAAGATTACGTGCTTTTAATTTTACACGCACATACCTACATCCATGTCTTTGCTTGTTATTGCATCTCATTCATACTTCTTTTCTTCTTCTGTATGGATTGAAATATTTAGAATTATTTTTTTTCCTCTTTTATAGAATTATCATCTATGAACTCAACATGAGGAATGATTTCAGAATTATTACAAATGGTATTTAGTTAAACGACAGATCACCATAAATCAATTTTCAATTCCTTTGAATTCATATCAACAGATTTGGACAGTTAGACTCCGAATAAGTCGAAATTGACCATTACAGCAATTAAATAGAATTTTAGATTTATGTGCATGTAAATACACATATACACACAAACACACACACATATATATATATATATATATGTTAATCAAATGTTATTGAACTTCAATACAGGCGGCATACTATCTTAGTTCTTTTCCGAAAGCCATCGGTAATAGTCGTTGATAATGTAGTATTTGTTGTTAATAGAGCGAATCACGAACCTCTGAAAAAATTCACGCCGATGTTCTCTGTCGTAGGTCACTATACCATGAACTGTCATAATGAAAGAATCCGATTTCTCGTTCCCCGGCAATGGCTGAGCATCAACAGTGTCTATTTGATGTGTCGTCTTAGGGAGTTGGTTAATGTACTGCTGAATGTAATTTTGATCTGCTAAGAGATGACCATTCCACTCGCATAAATTTTGAACGTTCGGTGCATAAAGATCGACAATGCTTTGTCGTTGTTCAACATCGTCAAGGCACTGATAGTAACGTCGGCGAAATTCCAAGGCTTTCTTGGCAACCTCACTAAAATTTGCTTGTTCCATTTATTTTCTTTTGGTATGAATACACGTGAAAAGGCCTTGAAAACCATAAAATATTGAAGGATGGATAGGTATCTTTTCATTTTTTTCAATTCAATGATTTTTTTTCCAATTTACAATAGTTAATCAGTCAATAAAAACCATTTAGGTAGCACTCCTTTGCATTTACCTTTGAAAAGGTCAGTGTGTGAATTGAAATTCTATATTTGGATATATTCACTACTTTAATCTTGCATGCGCAATTTATCGTTCTTTTCCATCCACACCAGAATTAGTAAACACATTCTACAAATGTAAGAAAGTATTGCTATTATTCGCATGTTGGTAAACTTCAGACGTTCCTAGATCACCTTTAAGAAGCATCTCACAGGTCTCCAAGGCACTTCGCTGAGCAAAACACTTGTGCGCATGGCACAATTTATGTCTTTCACACAGCAATTCAGCTAACTGACTCGCGCAGGTTTCGGCTGAGGGTTGACGAAAAGAAGTGCCGTGGGGATCTAAATTCCTGTTTGATAAAAAAATTTCAATTGAACGGGCAGCCGAAGCGTGGATACTGAGCAGTGTCTGTAAGGAAATACCGACCGACTCATTCCTTCCTTCGTTTTTTGATAAGAAATGTCGCTGCACCACCTCCTCAAACGTCCCCAAGTAACCTCTAATCTGGAGCTCCCGAATTCCCTCATTAAGAAATCGCACGACGGCATTTGTTGTCGTGGTTGTTATCGCGTCTGTGGGCGGCAGGAAGGCCGTGGAGGAGAGCAGCGCCTCCGATCCGGCCGTCAACCGGGTGAGCAGCTGCCATGGTTCAAGAAGCGGCGACGCGCTGCCGAACTGTTCTAGCAGCTCCAACGTCTCAATCCACTGCCCGGTGCTCCGCAGGGCGGTGGTTTGTTGAACGCGGATGCTGTCGGCAAGATGGGAAAACCCGATCCTCTCCGCTGATTTCAACACCTTAGCCGAGTACTGTAGAATCCCACTGAAGTTCATGCGTTGCTGGAGGCTCATCAACTGTAGGAGTTGAGATACCAGGTTACCATATACAAAACTGCAGCTTGCGCTGATGACATTCAACACCTCAGACAAGTCGTCAATGATTTCGGAGTAACCTGCGTAGAGCGCCAGCTCACCACGCTTCTGTTGAATATCGGCAAGGAGAAGAAGGAGGTCTGGTGCCCAGAAAAAGTGCCCCTTCGTTTGACCAGTAGATGTTTTCTGGATATACAAAGAGAGTAGCTTTTCGTAGCTTTTGTTAAAAGCACTGGATTCTTTAGTGGTCGAGCCCGACAAGAGGCCGATTTCGCTTGCCATTTTATCTCGTTCGTTTTTGTTTGGTACACCGGCTATGGTGTAGATAAAGTAGGCGGCGGACTCCAGGAGGTCGTACGCGGCGGCTATGAAGCCGTTACGTGCGAGCCAGCACCCTTGCACGTACTGCAGCGAGGCGCTGAAAAAGAAGTTATCCTCGGCCATCCGCCGCCCTTCCGTGCCGTAGTGCTTCTGAACGGCGTCGAGGAAGTGGCGGGCGAGGTGGAGGGGTCCCTGCTCGCGCTGGACGACCGGCCAGGCGCGGCCGCCCTGCACCGCGAGCATCTGATGCGCGGTATGCCGTACCATTTCTGTGAGCAGGATGAGCGACGGCCGAATCGACGTCGCGGCCGTGAGCCCTTCGCTTTCCTCGATGGCGGCCAGAAGCGGCCCCATCCGGGCCGCGTCGAGGACCTGGGGGAAGGTCGTCAGGCCGTAGATCGACCCCGTCATCCGCAGCGTTTCGCGGGCGAGCGCGGCCACGACGTCGACCCACCCATCCCCGCGCATCGGCCATCGCAGCGCGGCTATCTCGAACCATCCCAGCGCGTGGCGGACGGTCTGCGCGATGGTCTGCGGCGCGAGCGCGCGGGAGGCGCCGTGGCCTCTTCTCCTATTCCCTTCCCTTTTT